AGCGGTATATAAGTCTACTGCTATTGCTATTGCTATTGCTATTGCTATTGCTATTGCTATTTGGAGAATCTAATCATTTATTCATAGGGACGCAGTGGCTCAGTGGCTAAGATGCTCAGCGTGTCGATCAGAAAGGTCGGCAATTCGGCAGTTTGAATCTCTAGTGCCGCCTAATGGAGTGAGCTCCCGTTATTTGTCCCAGCTTCTGCCAACCCAGCAGTTCAAAAGCACGTCAAAATGCAAGTAGAAAAATAGGGACCATCTTGGTGGGAAGATAACAGTGTTCTGTGCACCTTCGGTGTTTAGTCATGCCAGCCACATGGCCACGGAGATGTCTTTGGACAGCACTAGCTCTTCGGCTTTGAAATGGAGATGAGCACCTCCCACTAGAGTCAGGAACGATTAGCACATATGTGCGAGGGGAACTTTTACCTTTACGTTCTTAATCATTTATTTGCCTACTTATCTAGATCAAGGCTTGGTTGTTCTTGCCTGCAGAAAAGCAACCTTCTCTAAGTATTGGATTCAAATTATTCCAGAAGGATTTAAACAGACAATTGTTCCAAAGCCATATACAACATATTCTGTACTAGCCATGCTATATTTCCAAGCTAAATTTGGGGGGAAAAAACACCGAAGGATTTGCTAGTCCATTTTAAAGAGGCATTGCTGTCTCTTATTTAATTAACTACAGTATTCATCCTCCCCAATATATATTTTTGACCAACCCTTTTAGTCACTTGCTTAGATAATTGGTTTGTAAAAACAAACACACTTAAAGGGGGAGGGACCCTTCAAAATCCCTGCATCTTGTTGAGAAAAGCAGCTAGAAAATTAAATTTTAATCAAATGGTAAAAATATGGCTGACAGAGCAAGGCACATATCTTTAAAAAAAACATCAAGTAAGGGAAAGAAAAGGATCAGAAAGACTCAGCATGCCGGCTTATAACATATATAGCCACAGAGAGGAGCCCTTCCTGTTCTTTTTTTTCTCTTTGCAACAAGGGAAATACATCCTTTGAATATTCTGTGACAGGCTCGATGACTTACCAGCCTTGGAATTTAAAAAGTCTAATATTCTGTTCTGAATAATTCTCCCTTGAGGGCTGTTCTTCTCAGTTGCTTAACTCTAAATTTTAGGCTTATTTACAATTTACTTAAGTGAATAATATTGGACTTCACCCTCTGACAAAGTGACTGGGTTTGGGAGCCACACAACTTGATAGAGCATTCATTTTACTAACAGCCATTTCCTATAGGAAGAAAATGGGGAAAAGGAATAAAGAAACACAACCCATTGGCTGCTTTCTACCCATACAATTCTCTGTCTCCAGGAGAGAGGAAGAAGTTACTGAGTATAACTAAATCTATTCACCACAAAGGCAGGAAGAGAGGAAATAATGCCACCTTTCTTGTACCAGAGGTTTACTGACACTTTCTGACCCCTCAGTTCCTTAATAATTGTCAGTGGAATTTCAGTGAATGAAAAATGGGCGGGGAAGAGAAACCCATAAAACACTATTGCACCTCTGCAAAAGGAGTCTGAAATGCTAAGGAACTGAAAGCTCTCACAGAAAGATGGAAAGCTCTCACAGAAAGACAGACCTGAGCGTTACTCAGAGTGACTAACAATTTTGTCCTGGTTTTATTGGGTTAAGAGGATTTTTTCCCAGAAACAAGACTTCAAATGTTCCCAATGACTATTCCTATTAGCCTCCACCAGGATGATCAATGGTTAGGGACGATGAGCTGTTGTAACCCCAAACATCTGGAAGGACCTAAATAGGAGAATGCTAGCTTAGAACATACAATTTTATTGTAATTAAATTATTTTTAAAATGTCCCATCTTTCTGCATTTCTTTTCAGTTTAATTATCTTTGTTTTGATGTAACCCCTAAAAAGCTTATGTTTAACAATTCTAAGAAACTAGAATGACAGGCATTTGAAAAATGATTTTCTTGGATACCAATAGGCCTGTGAGATCTTCATTGGAAATCTGTATCTCACAGACATCATGGTCACTGATGCAAAACCTGGGAGTTGAAGTCCACACACTTGGAACCTACCAAGGTTGGGAAACGCCACACTACCCTCTATTACTCTTTTTAAGGCTAGTCTTTCCTGGTTTGTTTTATTTGTCATGCTTTGGTCAGAGTGGTAATATCAGACAACTGAATTTTAACTTCAGTTTATTTATTTTGTTAGCTTTTATATCTCATCTTTCTTCCAAGAAGTCAAGGTGGTGGGTGCTTCTTATTCCAATTTAACCCATAAATGCAGGCTGGGTCCAAGATCATTCAGTTGTCTTCCACAGTTGAGAATGGATTTGAATTTAATTTTTTGGGGGCTGTAGTTCACTATATCACATTTTAAGAAACAAGTACGGAAAACTAAACTAAACATCTTTACATCTATTAGCTTTGTGGAGATCTTGAGTTGTGTGCCTTTAAATTAGATATATTTGCTAAGAACTTAAAAACAAAATGCTATCTGAACCAATGAGTAGTTTATACATTTCCAAAATGTAATAGAATGTATTTATTAGTTTTACAGTATTTGAGCTTGAAATTATTTAATTGACAAAATAAATCCAACTACGTTATCTTGTTAAATTTCATCAACTTTCCAGGATCTTGGAGAAATGCAAGAACACTCACGTCAAATGGAACATGGAAAATTCAACATAATCCAACCCTGTATCCATCTAGCACTTAAGTAGTAACAACAAGTTTCTTCAATCAATTTGCAACAGTTCCCTACTGAATACCAGCCTACGGGCCATCCAATGAACAAACATGCTCCAATGGTCACTTTAGCAAGAATCATACTGAATATTAACTAGTAATCAAATGCCTGATAAAATGAATAGGGATTTTCTTTCAGGTATTCATGACGGGAAAATTATTATAATTTTAATTGAGGGCTTGATTCAATAATGGAGTAGTTGCTGAAACATGTTTCAAAAGATTGGCTCCAGTCACTTTTTAAAAGCATTTAGCAAATAAGTTTCTTCTTGATTTTGGGATGTATATATGCACACACACATATACAAAGTATGCATACATCTACACACACAGAGAGACATTATAGAGTTCATAGAACTCTGTCATAGAAATCTAGTTCCCTTTTTGAACACACTATTGTAGAATTAACTGTTAAACCAATTTAATCAGAATGATTTAATCATTTCATAATTACATGCTACATGGTAAATACATTGTAAGATTACCACACAAATACTCTATGCATATTTGACTGATCAATATTTAAAATCATAAAGTTAAAACTCTTTTACAAGTTGTATAATACAGCCATCCTTTCATTTCTTTTTTAAAAAAATAGTTTCATTAAGTTACAGAATGAAATCACCCTAAGAAGTAACAAAAAAGAAAGAACACATGCCTGGCCTCATTGAAAATTCTCCATATTATGTTGCCTACCCTGATGGTTTTTCAATAGCTTGGACTATAATTCCCATCAACTCCAGACAGCATAGGAAAATTAGAAAGTACCAGGTTTGGAAATACTGAAAACTGTATTTTTTTTTATCCCTATGGAACTATGAAATCCACATATTTGAAAATGAGGAGAGTTTTAATCTTGATTTGTATGTATGTTCCTGTGAGATGAGACAGAGGTCCAAGAAATTCATTACTTCTACAGCATCCCCTGCTGGCTGTTTCAACTTGTTAAGCCTTGATTTTCCCACTGAATATAAAATGAGAATTTGAAAGTTGTCACGCGTAGAAAATGAGAAAGGAACTACAAGGCAAGACAGTGGAAAAACAGTATTAATGAAGCTCTATTGTTCTGTCCAGTGCCCTTGGATCTGGAGCTCAATTAAGCTGTAGCTGCACAGATGTAGTTTGAACATATTATTAACTTCCAATTCTATTTAAATCACACTGGCAGGGATCTATTATCCTATTTTCATTTGATGGCACAGAATCCAGCATGACAGCAAAATGCACTGACAGAGGGGCATTTGGTTCATGCAGGATTGCTTTGGATATTGGCCATAACTTTGCTCTGTCATAAGGAGTTCCCTGAGTTGCACTGCCTAATGCAAGCTATCTAGTGAATTGCCCTCTCAACCATATTAAAGCTTTTCATAAGCCCCTTCTGAGGAGAAGAATGTATCTGTCATTATTCAGCCTTCTCTAATCTAATTCTCTGTTGCCCTGGCTGAGCAAATGATTGGATTTGTGATCCAGCACATCTGGAAGGCTTGAAGTCTTCTATTATGTTGATTCCTTTAATCACAGATGCGGGAAAAAGTATTCAAATACTATACAAGTAAAATTTTCTCTTTGAGTGAGGAATGGAGCAAAGAATTATATTTTCTCCCTCCACCCATCCCCAGTATAAAAACAGAATATGTTTCTTGTTGAGTATGTACTTAATTCTTATATCATTTAGATTTTATGTACTTCTTAGCCACTTAATCCTACCACGCTGCCTTTACTATTCTCACGTTCCCCAATGAAGAGATTTTTGAGACTAGAATTACTAGAATTCTCAACCAAGATGGAAATTTTAGAAGATGCTCTTCTGTAGGTACTGAACACTGGAAGACACTGGAAGTCTTTAAGAAGATGTTGGATAGCCATTTGTCTGAAATGGTATAAGGTTTCCTGCCTAGGCAGAGGGTTGGACTGGAAGGCCTCCAAGGCCCCTTCCAACTCTGCTATTGTATTGAATTGTAACATGGGGAGAGACAGAAAGAGAAATGAAATAACAAATGTTAAGGATAACTGAAAACCATCTTGTATTAATTTACTGAAAATATATTTAAAAGCTGGCAATAAGTGGGAGGAATAATACATTACTTTTTGGCACTGACAATGAGATTTAAAAAAAATACATTTTAAGGCTGAAGCTAAGAGTAGTAGTAATTTTTTAAACTGCCTTAAGGCTATCTATTTCACTAAGACAAAATTATGTACAGTGATAAATAAATCTATATATAGATAAATTGAATCCAGAGAGATACATATTTATTGTCTTTTAGAGGGATTATCACAACATGTTGACTCCAACCGCTTTTGATGATGTTACGTTTTAGTAATGTTTTTCCCTCCCTCTGTTATTTAATTATATTTATATTTGCAGATATTACTTGATTAATAACTTGTGATCTTATTATAAGTTTCACAAGGCACCAGCAGAGAGAACCACTGAAAAGTAAAAATGACAATATATTACATCATTAACATTAGCATTGTAATCTTTCCTTCTACGTTTCTCCTCCCCCTCATCTCATCTGTTTTGAATATTTTTTCTGGGTTAAATATGATACTTTTCTCAGAGAGACTTGTTTTCTTGTTACTCATAACATGTCACCACACACTGACAGGGCTATATTACTATTAATTATAATTAGAACACCAGCTCCACCTTTACTGATAAGGTGGGTTGACAGTCTCTGAAATAAAGTGGAATACTTCCTGTCATAACATTCTTTGGGTTCAAGAAAGATTTTGGAACTTTGAAATGTGGCGTCCCTTTCACCTATAGATGAACTTGGGAGGGTTTTTTTTTTTTGGTTTATCTGTCTGCTATTGACAGGATAGTGACAAGGTATTGGGTGGAATGAAAGTACTTGTGCTGTCTGTTTGGCTGCTGTACTGAAGAGTCATTTAAAGGTTTATTGCTGAATCAACATATTTTGAATTGGACATTTTGCTTTCAGATCACATTGTTAAGAGATTTGGGAAACTCCTACAATTTTAATTTGCTTTTCATGCCCCATTCTGAAATGTAGAATTAAATCTTTAGTTATGGACATTGATTTCTGGAGCAGTAGACTAGATTCACAGACTTCTGGAAGTAAAGTAGATCAATAGGTCATTAGAGATGAATTATGGTTTTTAAATTCCTTCAAATTATGTTCTGAAAAGTACATCCTTGAAAAGCAGAACTGGGTTTATGATTTATGCTAAATCATAAGGTAATATGCTTTATTTTGTCTTGATATGTTGAGTAAACCTAATCATTATGATTACAAACTATGGCTTATGGCTTAATTTGTACAAACACAATCAATTGTAACTTATTGAACTTACCATGACTAAATTAATCATTAACACTAGGAGTAAACTCAAAGTAAGTATAACAAAATATTTATGAAAAGTCAGCCTGAATTAGACCCTGACACACCACCACTTTTTAGAGAACATATACCAGGAAACCTGTGGAAAAGTTCCCTAAACTATAAACTGGACACGGAGCTATCAAAATATTGAAATAAATCTCTCTGAATCCAATGCAGTTGCCAGTTTAGCATATTTTAGAAGATCAGAGATGAACTGGTCTAAACGGAGCATATAATTAAGAATATAGTAGTAACAGAGACCAGCCTTACTCCAGATATAAAGATGATGGGTGCTTCTCCTTTGCTAGCTCTTTTTAAGATCAGTCAGAGACCAAACATTTCAATTTGCAAGAAAAACTGTAAATAACAGAAGGTGAAGAGGAAAAAGCAAGTTCAATATTAATTAAATCATTTCGGTATGTTTTGACAGCAACTTTCTTTTCTTTTCAAGTGCTCATATGTGAATATGTCCAGCAGCTACAAAGCCGCTTTGCAGAAATAGTTCTCATTATTATATTTTAGAAATGGTAAAATAAGACTTTTACTACTTTTATGGTGACCTTCCTTTCAAGAAGTGCTAGAAGTAAAATAAAAAAGGCTCCTTGGAATTAAAATGAAAAGCCTGAAAAAATATTTGACAGCCTTTAGAAATAAATACAATTACCTAACTCCTATGGAAAGAAAGATAAGAGCTGACTAGCTTTTGCTCATGTCCAGTTCTACCCTAAACTTCTCTGAAGTAAAAAAAACCCACCCCAACATCCAATCCTAGTGGTGTTTATCTTTTATATTTCTATAAGTAGCCCTTGACTTACAATTGGAATTTCCATTGTATTCATGAACATCATAATTCAATACATCCACATGACTGACTCAATTTTTTTTCTGGTGGTCATTAAGTGAATGCAGCAGTCATTAAATGAATGAAATGTTCCTTAAACAAAATTCCGGTTATATGACCATGGGATGCTGCAATTATCATAAATTGATTTATTAAATTTTCATGCTGCCATCTCCCCTATAATTGACTCTATAGGCCAGTTGCCAAATGCACAATATACATTTGTGTGACTGCATGGGAAAGGCCATTGGACCTTCAAATCTTGGGCGTATCTTTTTGGGGGTCTTCATACCTTCAAATGGCCAGTAAAGGACAGTTGTAAGTCAAGGACTACCTCCAATTTGAAGGTCTTTTTATTTTCCGTTCCTCTAATGACATTCAGCTACTGTAGGTTTTTAAATTCTACAGCAGTGGTTCCCAAACTTGGCAACTTTAAGACTTGTGGACTCTGCTGGCTGGAGAATTCTGGGAGTTGAAGTCCACAAGTCTTAAAGTTGCCAAGTTTGGGAACCACTGTTCTACAGTAACCATGAACTTGGTACAGACTTAGATTGATACAGACTTACATTGCAATTGGAAGAAACATCAAATGTCGGATAAGAATTATCAGACCATTCAGATGCATCCATGTTTCCTGATTGCCGATGTTGAGCTTCATATTCCTTAAGCTGAAATGAAAATAAAACAAAGAGCAATCTCTCAATTTTCTCACTTGCTAAAAGTATATTTATTTATTTTAATATTTTTATAAGCAAATAATTATTAGAGAAATTAAAGCTGTTAGTACCGTGCAAAGCAATTGTGAAAATACGTTTGTTCTTTAGATTTGTATTTATTTAACTATTGATATTGATTATTAATTAATTACAAAAGAAAAAAGAGCAAAACATAAAAATGATATTGCCAAAAAGGAAAAACATACAAGTGCTCTATAAAAAAACGGAAAAATACAAGAAAAGACATATGATGTATCATTACAACAATAGTTACAATTTTATATACTTGTCTAATGCAAATATTATTCAAGTATGTATATATTTTTAACCTACTGTACAATGGAATCTTTGTTGTTTAGACTATTTTGAAAAAATGCTAATTTTGGACAAAAAACAAAACAAATCCAAACACACACACACAAACACCGTGCGCACGCACCTACACACAAACCAATTTTGAAACTTGATCCTCAAAGGAGAATTAATTTTATATGAATAGGAATTGTAGATATATACCATATTATTGCCCAGCTGAAAATAGTCTTGTCTAAAATTTCATCCATTGTGATGATAATATATATAGAATAGAATAAAGTTTCCAGGGTTTGTTTTTTTTTTACATTAAGACCTTTACCTTAGAAATGTTTTCATTCAGGAATCTGTTCCTGCTTGAAAAGGACAGAAATTTCCATCTGATCCACAAAACCAGCTATTTAGAAACTCTCTGTATTTGTTTGATTCTCATAATTATGGATGCTAGGCACAAGATTCTGTGATTCACTGATGTAATCAGGCCTATCTTTTGTCCCTAGCATATATAATGTATTTGCATTATATACCCTTGCAAGAGCTTCCTCAATAGTAATCATCTTCTCCTTGACCATCATCATTAACTGGATCCGCTCCTCGTCACTCATTGTGATTTCACTTGCTACATAACCAACATCTTCCCCTGGTGATAAATAGGAAAGATGAAAGAATAAATAGTATTTCAATACAAAAGAAATATGAGTCAAGCACAATAAGGCATGATTTTCCCAGTGAATTTGCCATGTTTAATCGTGCTACTTAATTCCCCACTTATTCACATTTCAACATTTTTATTTAAGTTTTGAAAACTGCAATGATCTTAACATTTCAGAATGAGAATGACACTGGAGATAGGAAATTGCTATTTTTAACTCCTCTGTATGGAATGCTTCATTTGATGTGTATATGATTTGCAACAAATCGGGAAAATAATGATGTTTACGTGACATTCAGAGAATTGTTGAGGCTATTATGTTAATGTCATGTTATGACATCACTTTGCTCATTATGCAATTTTTTTGCCGAATCTGAATATGGAAACTATGCAAATTGTCTGGGTTGCTTGACATTATGACAATTTTATCAACTTTACAACGCTAATAGGTTTAGCATCTTAGATTCTAACATGTAGTGATTAACATCTTGTATGAATGATGTAAATTTTGTAAAATTGGAACTATTTAATCCATAGCTGCTAAACCAAAGCATGTTTTAATAAAATTGATCAAGGGTTACCCAATTTATATTTTTGAAGGCAGCCATATGGAAGAGAGGATGGACTACTTTATTTTATCATAAAATTGTATGTTTCCTAAAAGTGCAAATATGTTTTTATCTATGAGATACAGACAAAGTCACCTAAGATGCTATTGGTTCATTAAAATAATAAAATCAATACAGAATTATCAAAGCTAAAGCCACTCACTATAAACTGAGATGATGAACAAAAAATAACAAAATATTATGAAGTGACAACAAAAACATTGGTTTTTCATATTTGATTGCAACTATATAAATCAAGACTTGCTTTTTAAAGTCATAATGCACATTTTGTCAGTTGTCCTGATTCTACCCTGGGGAGGTCTATATGACAGTATCTGCATAATGGAAGTAGAAGAAAGGTTGCAGGAACTGGGTATGTCTAGTTTAATAAAAAAGACTTGGGGAGACACAAAGAAGAGGGAGTCAAGCTATTCTCCAAAGCACCTGAAGGCAGGACAAGAAGCAATGGGTGGAAACTAATCAAGGAGAGAATCAACTTAGAACTAAGGAGAAATTTCCTGACAGTTACAACAATTAATCAATGGAACAACTTGCCTCCAGAAGTTGTGAATGCTCCAACACTGCAAGTTTTTAAGATGTTGGATAACCATTTGTCTGAAGTAGTGTATGGTTTCCTGCCTAAGCAGGGGGTTGGACTAGAAGACCTCCAAGGTCCTTTCCAACTCTATTATTCTATTCTATTCTATTCTATTCTATTCTATTCTATTCTAACCATGAATTTTGTGAGGTTGACCTAAGTTCAGATACTCCCTGATTAAGCTGACCCTTCCAATGGGAGGGTGCTAAAGAATTTTTTCTTCCTCAAGAGACCCAGCTTGTGAATAGTAGCATAGTGACATTAAAAAAGAGCTCTATCTCATGATAATTTAGCATATAATTGTTCTATGGGATTAAAAAAAACACCTGAAGTTTTGCTCAGGGTTAATAAGTGACAGTACAGTACATAACCCAGTTTTCTAATACTTTGGAACTCACTGAACACAGAGCATTATAAAATAATTATGATCATCCTTGCTAAAGATTAAAGCTGAGTACATAAATTCTGCTTAAGGGCCCAATAGCTATATAAACCTTTCCCAATTTAATAATGAAAAAAAAAGAACTTCATTAAATTTTTTTACCTTTTGAAGACTGTCTCATTAGTCCCTTCTGATTCTTTCGGAAGTTTTGCCAGAAGTATTTATTCTTCTTTTTCCAATCTACTTTACCTAACATATATAATTTAAAAGATTTTAAAGAAGAAAAGAAAACCACTATCATCATTCAGTTCCAAAAACAATATCAGTTTTAAATGAGCAGTCATAAATATTTATTATATTTGAATAAGGAAAGCTATTAAAATATTTTTAATAAACAAATAACATATAGAGTTTCTTTTTAATGAAGCTACATCTCTGCAGTCATTTTTGCAAATGGTTTTGAACCATAAATTAAAATTTAGATTAAAAGTCTACAATATATTCTGCTTTCTGTTTACTATTTTGAAATTTCATTTACAAACTTTCTGTTTTTCTTTATTAAAGCAAATACAGTGTTAAAAGGAAACCCAAAGGCTGCAGAATATTTAGTTTCAAGTAGGGGAGATATTTGCTAAAAAAGAAAAGGAAAGAAAAGGAGGAAGGGAAAGGGAAGGGAAGGAAAAAGCCAAGGGTATGGAAAAGAACAACTGGTATCCATGACTTAAGAAAAATCAGAATATGGTCAACAATTAAGTAAAAACAATGTCTGATTCTTCTGGGTTTAGTACAACTCAACATAATTGATAATGCACATAAGGAAACACCTCAGGCAGTTCTTGTCTTATGTCCACAATTGAGCCCAAAATTTCTGTTGCTAAGAGAGACAATTGCTAAGTGAGTTGTGCCCTATTTTATGATCTTTCTTGCCACAGTTGTTAAGTTAGTAACACAGTTGTTAACTGAGTCTCTGCTTCTCCACTGACTTTGCTTGTCAGAAGGTCATAAAATATGATCACATGTCCCTGGGACTGTGCAACCATCGTAAATATGAACCAGTTGTGCTAAGCATCTGAATTGTGATCATGTGACCCTGGGGATGCTGCAACAGTTAAGTGAGAAAAATGGTCGTAAGTCCCTCTTTTCAGTGCCGTTGTAACTTTTAAAAGTTTAAAGCGGATTTTGGAGGCAAAAGTTATTTCAGAAACAAAAGTGTAAATAGAAGAACAAATGAATTTATTTTTTTGAGAATCATGCATTCACATACATTTGGTTACGGCTTTTTCAAAACAAAGCCCCTTCCACCCCCCACAAAGAGAAGAAGCATACTGACCAACTGCACTTTCTTCAGAACTTGACTTATGAAGAGAGAACCTAAAACACAAAAGAGAAAGAGACAGTGCAAATTGTGGCAAACATCAGCTGCTCCAAGAAAGCTGGGTGGCTTATAATTAATTAATATTTGTGGAATAGATATCCCCTTCCCCTCTTCTCCTTCTATGAAGCCAGGAGGAAGAAGCAGCATCTCAGCTCCATGCTCATACAATGGCATGAGCTTAGCTCCACTGAGAATGCTTTGAAATGATCTTCTTGTGACCGATGCAGAAAAATATGTTATGGAGGACAAAAATGTTAAAGTTGTGAGGTCAAAAGGGGAAATGGACTGAAGGAAGTCTTCCGCTCTTCCCCCTCCCTCCACTGTCTGCCACAAGAGACAGACAGAAATCTTCTTAGGAAAACACCATTGTACACATGTAGTTCCAATACACAAATCTTGTGGGACCATCTACATTTCCAGCTATCCACTGAGCAATGTGAGGAGTTACCTAAAAGATAATCAGATGGTTCCCCAGCTGAATCTTTTAGCTATCTGACAAAGTTCTTCTGTTTGTTTCTCTGTCTTCTGTACTTAATTTGCCTTTATTAAAGAGACAACAACCTTTCCCATATCATATTCTGATAGATAGAGTATTTGATAGGTGATTAATAGTCCAGAAAGATGCCCTGCCATTATTTGGCTACCCATATTTAAATTGAAATTCATAAGCAAACTTAATTTTCCCACAAGTAATGATCTGTTGTATAGAAAAAGCTATGTGCATAAATCAAACAGAAAACATTCCACACAGACTACAGGATCCTGTCTTCATTCCAAAGCAGCACTGTATTTGTTCTATTGTCTCATATTATGCATTTTATGATTAAAGCAAACAGATTGGATGGCAATTGTCATATTTCTGGAAAACAAGATGGAAATTTCACCTCACAGAAGCTGTATTATACTTTGACCTATGGTTTTGAGTTTGCAAACCATCCTGGTATGCAATTTCTAAAATGAGCAGGGGAGGGCAGTGCGCAGTCTTTAATCACCTCTGTAAAGCTCCAAGAAGAAATTAAATTGTGCTTTGTTTTAGACCTGTCACAATCCCTGTCAATGATCCAAATGATTAGAGGCCAACTGTTTATAAGCATGAAAAACATAATCATCAATTTGTAGGGGACATCATGAAAGGGAAAACGATAGCAAGAAGTTAAATTCTGATTCAGTAAATTCATCCAAGCAGAGGCAGTAACTGCAGTGCCTGGACATGGCAAATCATCTTTCTTTAGCCTGATTAGAAATTTAATCAGCACCAGCAGCCAATTGACACACCAATTCCAGATCAGGGTGTGCACCAGGTGCATACTAGAAGAAGGCCATTGCTAGTTTCCTGACAGATGCAGTTTACACTCAGTTTGCAAAAAGAAAATTGATAGCTTGGTTAGATTCACAGTACCAGCAGCAAAGGATCTGATTTTTCAAAAGGACTCAAGAAATACAGAAGATTTTTCTTTCTCTCTCCCCCTCTCTCTTTTGAAGCATAGATCTAATAACAATTTCTAAACCACAAGCAGTGTTTCAGTCACGTTTGTACAGGAACCTAGAAGAATGCACTTAATCACTTAATATATTTATTAGAGCGACTAACAAAAAAAAAAGATAAAAGCTTAGGAACAAAATGCTTTGGCTTCCAGCTTCTTCAGCTGCTTTAAAGCAAGATCCTTTTTATGAGCAGCTGAAGTGAATGGAAGCATTTGGCTTTTGAATTTGAATATGTGTATGAAGGATAGTGGTATGTGTGTGTATGTGCATACACACACACACACACACTTCAAGAAAGATTTTATTTATTTATCTTATTTGTTTAGCCACCCATCTCATACAAAAATGACTCTGGGTAGTGTACAGCACTTAATTAAAGTGAAACAATAAATACATTAAACAACCAGAGTTAAAAACTATTAAAAAGGCACATAAAATAGGAGAGGATGATATCCTGGAACGCCCAATCATAGCCAGGTCTTGAAAGATTTGTGGGATGTTGAGAGTGATGGAGATAATCTTGTTTTGGGTAAGAGAAGATTCTACAAGGCAAGGTCTGTGGCAGAGAAGTCACATCTCTTGGGATGAAATGTACACAGGACCTACAACATGTCTTCGCTGTTTGACCTGATGAGGCAAGACAGATGTAATTGGGGAGAGGCAATCCCACAGATAACCTGACCCTAAGCTATTAAGAGTTTTGAAGGTCCAAACCAACTCCTTGAATTCGATCCAGAAGCAACAAAAAGATATTTTGAGAGTCTAGAAAGAGTGCAGAGAAGAGCAACAAAGATAGTTAGGGGACTTGAAGCTAAAACGGTTGCAGAAACTGGGTATGTCTAGTTTAATGAAAAGGACTAGGGGGACATGATAGCAATGTTCCAATATCTAAGGGGTTGCCACAAAGAATGGGAGTCCACCTATTCTCCAAAACATCTTAAGGCAGGACAAGAAGCAATAGATGGAAACTAATGAAGGACAAGAAGCAATGTAAAACTAATTACCTGACAGTTAGAACAATTAATCAGTAGAATGACTTGCCTCCAGAAGTTGTGAATGCTTCAACACTGGAAGTTTTAAAGAAGAGGTTGGACAATCATTTGTCAGAAATTGTATAGGGTTTCCTGCCTGAAGAGGGGGTTTGACTAGAAGACCTCCACGGTCCCTTCCAAATCTGCTATTCTGTTAAACTGCAGACTGGCAACAATGCAGTTTGCGAAGAAGATTAGCCCTTTCTTCATTTATTTATAAATATGTCTAAACACATTTGGAAAAGCTTGCCAGTTGTTGATATAGACTCTTTAGTAAAACAGAAAATGACATAAGATATAGAGAGGTATTTTTGTAGTCTTTGTAGTGTTTAATTTATCTGCAAGATTATCTCATGTCAATATGTCTCTGCCTTTGTTTTGCATTTTCATGTAAGTGTATCTATTGGAATTTCTCCTCTTATTCTTGACAAGGAAACAGAGTTCAGTCACTCACAAATACTCTGCTTCTCTTTCTCTTAGAAGTGGTGTGTCTTTTTCAAACACATAAAAATCACAATGCCCAGCTTTTTGAGTTATGCAGGTATGACTATATAAACAACTGTAAAAATTGCATCATAGTCAAGAGAAAGATGCCAAATAGAAAACATACTCACAAAGAATAGTGTAAGACTATTTGCACAATTTATAAATGCAGCGATGTCTTACTATTATTAAAAGAATATGTGAACTATTCCCAATAATTATAATGTTTTGGTTGGCTTGTTTGTTTGTATTACTAAAAGTGAAAAAAAATATAATACATGTATCTCAAAATTTATTCATAAATACATTTCAAAGAATAGAGAGTTGTCCTTTTAAGAACTGGGGGGGGGGGAAAGCCTGGAAAAGTTCACAGACAATCCCAAATCTTCTGGACTCAAAATCTTAATAAACGCTTTTTCTCCCTGTCTCAAGTATTCAAGTTATTTTTCCTTTCTGCCTTCCATTTCAACACATAGACTTCTGAAGGTGTTTTAACTTTAAAGAAAAGCAGGAGAGAAAGGGATTATTTCACAATGGAGTTATGCACAAAGTTCAAGGGTATAAAATTAGAAGTCCCCAAAGTCTTCAGAAAGCAACCTCAGAAATGCTGCCAAATTATCATTTTACCATGAGAGAAAGCAGACAGAATCAAATACATGATGGAGTATAAGCATATTGATTGTATTAGATTAGGTCCAGGGAGAGACTCAGTCATGAAAGCTGACTATGGTATGTAATTTTGAACCAGTCATCTCACAGGTTTGCTGTTGTGAGAGAAAATTGGAAGAGAAAATATTATTTGTCTCTATCACCTTGAGCTTCTGGAGAAAAAAAGCAAGATATAAATCTAATGAATAAAATAAATTATATTATATTTTACTTAATTATACATTAGATCTAATTTACTATCACCCATAAATTTAGTTTTAAATGTTTAGTTTTTCAAGGTTAGCCTCCAGGCATGCTAGCTGAAAGCCAAGGATGTCTCTCAACCTGAAATATGCAGCACACTCTACTATAAATTAAAGATGCCATATCTCTTTTCCACATTCTATATGAGCTTGAAAAAACGATGCTGCCATTTTAAGAATTNGGGGGTTTCTCCTATCTGCCGGGGGATTTGCCTTACCACCCCGGCGTCTGCAGAATATTCCCTTTGATCTGCTGGTCTCTTCGGGATCAGCAGTGCTCCAAAAATGAGCCCACACGAAGAAATTAGAGTTAGGGGTTAGAGGAGCTCCCTTACCCCGCTCTAGGCACAGTGACGTCACCACCCGGAAGCCTAGAACTGGCTGAAATAATTTAAATTACTGGGGTAGCAATATAACTCAGATTGCTGATAAACTACATTTTATGTTTACGTTTAATTTTTTTAAAAAAATGAATGACACAAATGCTTTTTAAATAGCAACATGTGATAGAAATATAGACTGAGATCTACAGTTGCTTACAGAGTTTTGCTTACAAGCCAAAAATAATTCACTCTCATGTAAACTGTGATGGTACTGATTTTCCTTTCCAGCTGCAGGTCCACTATTTTAACTGAAAAGGTGATTGTAACAGAAGAACAAAAGAATGTGATAGGTCAAGGGCACAATACATTACAACCAGTGTGTACATTTATATTCATTTATTCAATTTCTATAGCTGCCCAACACAATCTTAAAAATGCACAGCTGTCAATAAATTCAATTAATGCTAAGTTACTGACATACAGTATATCCTGTTTTCAGTACATTTAAATTAGCAACTGTGCTGATTCTGCTCTATCATTAATACCAACTTCTCCTGTAATGAACTTAGAAGTGATATGAGAATTTAACTGGCTACTGAATTAATCATAGAAACATAACACCAGAAACAACCATAAATGTCTAGATAGAGATTTTACACTTCTAAAACTTTTCATTGTGCAAAATTCTGAGGTACTAGAGGCAGCCCTTTGGCCTGAAATGAAAAATATGTCAAAAACATTACATGCTGACATTTGAAAAATA